CAGAGTGGGCTGGATCTCAGCCCCTCCAGCCTTGGCCCCAGGGCCCAGCTCCTGCAGAGCCTGTCCCCAGCACGCCCTTCTTCCTGCCCCGGCACCCTTGTCTGGAGGCCCCAGAGCAGTACCCAAAGTTGCTTCTCATCCTGAGTTCAGCTTCTGCAGGCCACAGTGGGCAGGGCACTAGAGAGCTGGTGGAGAACAGCTGGTGTGGGGAGGGGCAGGGCAGGGTCACCTGTCCACTCTCCTCCCCTCAGCATCCTGGGGACGGTGCACTTTTGGAGGGAAATTGTCTGGCTTTACTCCTGAGCCCTGGGAGAATCTGGAAGCCTGGCCCTGAACACGGAACCACATCTCGGAATATGTCCGCCCTTTAGACCAGTTGTGTCAGCCCAGCCCTGGAGCAGCCTGTTGGTATTATGTATGGGTGTGTATATGGTGTGGTTGGGAGCCTGGAGCCTCACTTTGAGTTGGGCATGGAGCCAAAGGGCAGTAAGAAAAAGAAAACAGGTTTGCAAAAGAGAGAGAGGCCCTGGGCACTCTGGGCTGGAGTCAGGAAACTCAGACCCCGAAGTTTCATCTGTGAGCAAGGGGCTGGGCCGGGAGAGCTGGAGGAACCTTCCTGTGCAGCACTTCCTGATGCTCCAAAAGGCCTGGCATACCTGTGACTTACGCCCCAGGACTGCTTACGTAACTGGCCGCTTATACATAGGGGTGCATCTGTGGAGGGTCGCTGGACACGTGACCGTCTCAGGCCTCTAACCCGTGGGAATAAGTGGGGAGGGAGGAGCTGTTGTTTAGTGGTTGTGATGCCGCTTTCAGCTCCAATTCCTGGATAATGTGAGGGAGGGAGTGTGCACATGCCCAGTGGTGTCCTGGGGGGGCACTCGGGTCTTGCTGGCCTCTGTCCTCTCTCCCCTTCATCCCTCCACAGGCAAGATGGAGGGGAGGCAGCCAGGGAGGAAGCAGGCTGGAGCCAGGCATAGGTGGGCACTTATGTCTACAGGATGGGAGAGCCTGCACTGGGAGATGGACCACAGACTTGTAGGTACCAAACCAGGTGGCCTGGGGCCTGGCCACCTGTTTGCTGTCCCTCCTTTACTGGGGTGGGATTGTGACGTCCCTCAAGTCCTGACGTTGTGACCCAGAGATGCAGAGGAAAGTGATGTCCTGACTTCTCCCAGCCCCTGGGGTAGGGGGCTGTGAGCTGGCTCAGTCACGGCCTGGCTTACTGCTCAGGGCTCACTGCCTCCCTGGGCCCTGCCCCCAGCCTGAGGGTGGGCATCCGCTCCTTCCTGCTGCATCTTGAGGCAGCGTTTCCGTCACTCTCGCAGCAAAGGCCAGCGTGTAAGGGGAGAGCAGAAAGGCAGCTCCTGGGACCAGTATGTCTGAAAGCCAAGGAAGGACCTGGGCTGTACCTTCCCCCGGCAGCTCCAGAGAGAGGGAGTCTCTAACTGCACTGTACCCACTTTGCAGATGGGAAATCCAAGGCCAAGGATGGTGGTGATTTACTGAGAGTCAGGTACCTGAGGCTACCCACTTCTGCTTTAGACACGCTCAATGCTCTGGGCATGTTGTTGTTACTAGCTGCCGTCCAGTCGGCCCCCAACTCATGGCGACCCCATGCACAACAGAAAGAAATGCTGTCCATCCCTGTGCCATCCTCACGGTCAGTTGCAGATCAGACCATTGCAATCCATAGGGCTTCTGTTGCCTGATTTTTGGAAATAGATCACCAGGCCTTTCTTCCTAGTCTGTCTTCATCTGGAAGCTCTGCTGAAACCTGTTGAGCATCACACCCCAGCCTCTGCGGACAGACAGGCAGTGGCTACGCTAGAGGTGCATTGGCCAGGAGTCAGTCCTGGGTCTTCCATGTGGGAGGTGAGAATTCTACCACTGAGCCACCCATGTTTCCACACTCTGGGTATGGGGGTGGCCAAATACTTAGCCTAGACTGTGGCTGGAAACAGTGAAGAGAGCAGAGAAAGAAGGTACGGACAGGAGTACATGAGGGCCTTCGGGCAACAGAGGCTGCCTCCCCTGCCGCCAGCCCTTCTGGAGCCCCAAGTCCACCTCGGATCATCCCTTGTGCTCACAGCAAGCCTGCCCCCCTCTGGCGACCTGTGGAACATCAGGGCAAAGCATTCCACTGGCGCCCAGCTTTGTCTGAGAAGCGGTGGAGTCACCTCTGTGCTCATGCTGTCTGTCCCCCTGAGGTCACTCAGCCTCCTTGAGTACTTTTAGGGGATGCCTCTACTGCCATTTGGACACCTGGCTCCAGCCTTGGGCTGGCTCTGGGATTCCTGATTGACTTCCTGAGGCGTCACCCATAGGAAGCAAGGCTTCCTTGACTCGTTCTAACGTCTCAGACACAGGGCGGCCACTTGGCCGTGTTTAAAAGGAACGGAGCCTTTAACTTTCCCTGCAGGCCTTGGCGGGGGACAGTGTGCAATCCCTCAATTGTTTAGTTATATTTATTTACTGGGTTTGTTTGTTCTTTTTAAGCAACACCCCCCTTGCCCTTACCTACCCCCGGCAAGCTAAGAGCTCCCCTGTCTTCAAACACCAAAGAAGTGCAGATTGAGCCCCCCTATGGGCAGTAGTCAGGAGGCCCTGGTTGGTGCAAATTGTTAAGTGCTGGACTACTAACCAAAAGGTTACTGGTTCAAACCCACCCAGAGGTGCCTCAGAAGAAAGTCCTGGCAGTCTACCTCCAAAAGCTCACAGCCATTGAAGACCCTATGGAATGCAGTTCTACTCTGCACACATGGGGTCACCATGAGTTGGAATGAACTGGACGGCAACTAACAACAACATGGGCAGTAGTCATGCCTTTTCCTCTACCTCTCCAGGCCTGGGAGCCCTGGTAGTGTAGTGGTTAAGAGCTCAGCTACTAACCAAAAGGTCAGCGGTTCGAATCCACCAGCTGCTCCTTGGAAACTCTATAGGGCAGTTCTACTCTGTCGTATAGAGTCACTATGAATTGGAATCGACTCAATGGCAACAGGTTTGGTGTTTGGTTCTCCAGGCCAAGGGGAGGAGATTCTTGGGTGACTTTTTTGGTTCTATTTTCCCTGCTTTAGTGAGTAAGTGGGGTTACAAATGGGAAGCTGGCCAGACTGAGCACCAACTCCTCCCTCACCCTTCCTCACGCTGAGTGCGGACACGTACTTAGTCTGAGGGAAATGCGTGCTAGCGTAGATGATTCTGCAGCAAGGACACAGGTGTTATTCCTGGAAGGGGAGAATTTGCTCCAGGACAGAAAAAAAAAAAAAAAAGTTTGGAAATTTGGAAAGCGCTACTTGCTGCCCTAACCCCCAGCTTCCACCAGGCGGAAGCGGTCCACCCTGGGAAACTCACAGGCTGCGTTTCACAAGGCTTCCTCGCTGTTCCCAGAGGCGCTTTCAGGCTGGCTGCCCACGCCGTCCACGCGGCACGGCCCTCTGGCTCTGGCCAGTGTTTGTCTTAGGCTGAAAGTGGACACTGGCTGCTGGTGGAGGCTTCCAGGCACAGCATGAACCTGCACACATCTGGTTATTTTCATGGCTCCAGGGTGAAGGGGAGGGTGGCGGGGGAATGACAACGTGCGCCCTCAGAAAAATACAAGCCAGCTTGTTATTGCACGTCCTGCTCAGGGAAGAGCTGGGCACACGCTTTGACTGTAGAAGGTGTGTGCCCAAGGATTTAAAGTGCAGCAGGTGCGTCTGGGAGGAGAGAGAGGGCAAGCTAAGAGGTCGTGCAAACCCCAAAAAATCAGAGTTGCTGTTGAGTCTTTCCTGACCCATGGTGACCCCATGTACATCAGAGTAGAACTGTGCTCCACAGGGTTTTCAGTGGCTGGTTTTCTGGAAGTAGATCAGCAGGCTTTTCTGCCAAGGCACCTCTGGGTAGACTCGAACTTCTAACCTTCTGGTTAGCAGCCAAGTACGTTAACTCTTTGCACCACCCAGGGACTCCAGAAGGTGGTGCAGGCATACCCAAAACCCAGTGATGATGGTGATGGTTCATTGCTGGGGAGCGGTAGAACAGTGGAGACTCTGGAGACAGACAGCCTGGATTAAAGTCGCCCCATGTGGCCTTCCCCAGCCATCACCCACGTACCTATTCCGAGTCTCCTCTTCTGGACAGTGTACATATCAGTCAGTGCCTTCGCAGAGGCTGCTGGGAGGCTCGAGTGAGAACAGACACGTAGAGCACTTAGCTCAGTTTCAGGCAAATATCACAAAGCCTCAAAAAATGCTGAGTTCTTTTAAATCTTTTTTTTTTTTTTAATTGTGCCTTAGGCTAAAGTTTGCAGCTCAAGTTAATTTCTCATACAAAAATTTACCCACATATTGTTATATGATAGTAGTTGCAATCCCTTTAATGTGACAGCACACTCCCCATTTCCACCCCGGATTTCCCATTTCCATCCAACTAAATGCTGGTTTTTAAGATTAAGAATACTGATAATAAACTGCCTTTGGAAGATATATTTTTTATGTTTTTAAAAAGTTGTACTATAGTGTAATATATATGACAAAAAATTTGCCATTTTAACCATTTTTAAGTGTACAGTTCACCATGTTGTGTAACCACCACCATTATCTATTTTCAAAAGTTTTTCGTCCCCCCAACTCCTTCTCCTCCAGCCCCTGGTAACCACAAATAAACTTGACGCTATGTATTTACATAGTCTAAAAAAAAAGACAAATACCAAACTCGTTGCTGTCAAGTTGACTCTGACTTATAGCAATCCTGTAGGACAGAGTAGAATTGCCCCATAGGGTTTCCAAGGCTGTAATCTTTAGGGAAGCTGACTGTCACATCTTTCTCCTATGGAGTGCCTGGTGGGTTTGAACCACTGACCTTTCGGTTAGCAGCCAAGTGCTTAACCACTGTGCCACCAGGGCTCCTATTCTTCTATTCTGGAGATTTCACATAAATGGGACCGTACACTGTTTGTCCTTCTGTGTCTGCTTCATTTCACTCAGCATCGTGTTATCAAGGCTCACCCACGTCGCGGCATGTATAGAACCTCACCTCTCCTTACTTGTGAAGGAAGGTGTATTTTGAATAATTGGATGCGTAGACGTGTCCACCATGTGGAGAGAGAACCCATCCCTCTGCCCGGGCCTCAGACCTGGCACAGGTGTGCAGAACACAGCACCTGTGCTGCCTCTCAGAGGCTCTGCCCAGGTGGTCCTGTTTCCAGCCCTCAGGTATGCAGGAAGGTATTGGCCAGGTATCTGAGCTGGCTCGCCACCCTGCCAGCTGTGCCCCTCAGTAAGGACACGCTCCATCTGGAGTATTGTAACATTTTCCCCAAAGCTTTACACTTTTTAAAATGTTCATTTGGTCATACCATAGATATTCCTCCCACCCTTGACAGACAAGGACACAAAAGCCCGAAGAGGCCTTGGCTCACACAGAAACCCAGGTCCCCAGTTCCCAGGCCTCCCTGTGGAGGCTGCAGATGCCTCACACGTGTGGTCATGGAAACTGATCTGAAGGCGGGTGAAGGTCTGCCACCTGCCCCCGTGTGGCCTTTGTTCAGGTGCCTGTGGGCCGGTGAGGTGAGCAACATCAGCCAGGCACCCCCCTCTCCTGCTGGCTGGCGAGCGGGCTGCTCCTGGGCACGCTGCCTGGTGGTCAGACAGTCCGGGGGATTAGGACGCCCTGGGAAGACATTGTTGCAAGGAAGTTAGTCTTCTCTTTCAGCTCAGGAAGAGACCCAGCCCCTTCCCCGGCAGCCTGGCGGTCCCCAGAAAGCCTGGCGCCCCATACAACCTCAGAGGCACAGCCTGTGGACCCCTTGTCAGGAGCAGCAGAGGTGGTGGCAGGCCCAAAACGGGGCTAGCCGGTGGTCTCCTTACTGGGGAGGGAGAGGAGCCGGGGCCAGGGGGCTGTGGTGGGCTCAGTCAGAGATGGGGGCAGCTCAGGGGTCTTTGGAGGCACAGTTGATTGAATTCCAAGCTTTCCTCTTACCTCCTTGCCTTCAGCAACTGAATCATAATCATGAGTAATCCACAGAATGCATTTAGAAACTTCTTGCCGAGGTGCTCAGCCCGGTTCTGGGGTAGGGTGCACGGTGGCCTTCTGACCCCTACCTGGAAAGGTTCTGGCAGGTGTAGGGTGAGGTGGGGGTGGAGTGGGGTAGGGGTAGGGGTGGCCCTCTGACCCCCGCCTGGAGAGATTCTGGCGGGGTGGGGTGGGGGTGTGCCGACAACTTCAGGCCCCTGATTTTCCTTGTCATTAGAAGGGATCGCAGAGGCCATTGGAGCCCACCCCTTCTTGGGGCTTTGTGGAAATGGGCCTACAGAGTGGATGTGCAGGGAGAGTTGGGAACAGAGCAGGCTCTGGGGCAGGCCTCCAGGCTTCTTGAAGGTACTTTGTCTGCACCCTCCAGTCCAGCTCTTCCTGGCCCTGGGACCGAAAACCCATGTTTGAGGGACAGCTTAGCTGGCAGGCCAGGGAGTGAATCTGGGGCCAGGGAGGGGTGTGGGACAACCGAGCCGAGTCCACATGGGTATGCCTGCAGTCTGTCGGTGGGACACTGAGGGTGAGGTTAGGGCCCAGGAGATGAGTCTGGAGCCCTGCCTCTGCCTGCTTGGGAGCCGCCCTTCTGGTTCACCCCCTCTCACGGGCCGAGCAGCAGCAGCCCCGTGCACACAGCCCAGCCTGGGCACAGATGCTCCCCAAAGACATGAACTGCAGTGTCAGGGCAGCCCTATGCATAATAGCCAGTCCCAGACTGGACACCACCCAAGTGCCTGTCAGCAGGAGAACGGGTAAATCAATCGTGGCATGCTCACACAATAGCATACTATCCTGCAGGAGCTGAATGGCCAACAGGAAATCCCTGTGAGGATGGACTGCACAAGGAAATGCCCAGGGAATGAAGCAGATGCAAGAGGGTGGATACTGTGTGACATCACTTATTAAATTCAGAAACAGGCAGAGCCAGTCTGTGATGCTTTAAGTCAGAAGAGTGGTTGGAGGAGACTGACTGGAAGGAAGCAGAGAAAGGGCTTCGGGAATGATCGGGGTGCTGGTGACGTGGGTGCTTGCCGTCAGTGAAAGTTCATCAGGGTGTACACTTGTGATGTGTGCGGTTTCTGAATGTATGTAATTCTTCAATAAAACATTTTTAAGAATAAAGTCGAGGTGGGGGGGCTGTTCTTTGAGGACCTCCTGACCAAACGAGCAGGAGCTGCTATGGCCTATGGCAGACACTGGGGATCCAAAACTTCAGGCTCCAGGCAGGCAGCTCAGGTGAGGAGGTCCAGGGAGAAGCTGTGAGCCAGAAGCAGTCAACCCCAGGGAAGAGGAAGGGAAACCAAGTCAGTTGTACTGACCTGCCCCAGCCCAGACCCTGATACCGTTGACGTGGGTCATCCCCGTGAGAGCAGAGGGGTGCACAGCTCCAACCTGCACCATCGCTGGTGGACACACTTCTACAGTGTCCCCTGGGGTGGGCACTGTGAGGTGCCAGGGATAGCGAGAGGAGTGGTCATGGTCCCCCCTACAAGCAGAAAAGGGTCTTGCCGTCCAACCACCAGGGAATGCCCCTGCTAGGAAGTGGTAACAGCTATGCAAAAGTGAGGAACACCTCACCAAGGACCCATCGCATGTCATACTCTCCCCTCTGACATCTGTTATTGGGCTGTGGCTCTTGTAAATTAAAAAATTTATTCTTATTTTTTAATTTGCTGTTCGGGTAGGTAACAATTTGGGTGTTTCCATTTGTGTGTGTTGAGTTGCAAATCCTTTTTCCCAGTTTGTCATGTGGCTTTTTTTTTTTTAATTGTGGTAAATATATATGTAATAAATCATCTGCCTATTTAACATTCTTCACGTGTACAATTAGTTAATGTTTATCGGGTTGTTCAACCATCCCCATTATTCATTTCCAAAATTTCCCATCACGCTTAACAGCTCTGTGTCCCCTGAGCAGTGAGTCCCTCCTTTCCCCTCCCGACCGCCCACACTGGTAAGCTCTAATAAACTTCGGTCTCTATACACTTGCCTCTCTATCCTAGATATTTCATATAAGTAGAAACATATCATAAACTTGAACAGATACTTGTACACCAGTGCTCACTGCAGCACTATTCACAATAGCCAGAAGGTGGCAACAGCCTAAATGTCCCTCAAGAGATGAATGGATAACAAAATGTGGTATGTACATACCATAGAATATTAAAAAAAAAAAAAAAAGGGTTTCCGTTGAGTTGATTTCAACTGTCCCATAGGGTTTCCAAGGAGTGGCTGGTGGATTCGAACTGCTGACCTTTTGGTTAGCAACTGAGGTCTTAACCACTGCGCCACCAGGGCTCCAGTGGAATATTACTTAGCCATAAAGAGAAATGAAGTCCTGATACATGCTGTGACATGGATGAGCCTTGAAAACATTATGCTAAGTGAAAAAGTCAGTCACAAATGACTTGGTTTTTAATAGTCAGCTAGAACAAGTGGCTCTTGTTGGGCTCTTCAGGGGAGTCACAGAATAGGGTCCACAACTGGATTTAAAAAAAAAAAAAAATCAGGATCCCAGAAGGGATCTTATAACATCAGGGGCTGGCAAACTACGATTTGGCCACCTGTTTTTGTGAATAAAGTTTTATTGGCACACAGCCACACCCATTCATTTACTTGTTCTCTGTAGCTGTTTTGGGGCTACTGCAGCACCATGTGGACCTCAAAGCCTAAAATATTTACTTTCTGGCCCTTTACAGGTAGGCTTGCCAACCCCTGTTTGTGCATTACTGTGTCACTATGTCATAATTCTACAAATGGAAGCCAAGGCCCAAGAAACGGAAGTGATTTGCTCTAGTGGCAGCTCCGGGGCAAGAACCAGCTTCACTGCCTCCCAGCCTGGCTCCTTTCTCAGAGTGGAAAAGACCCAGGCTCTTCCCTGAGCCCGACTGTGCCCCAGACCTCGCTTGACTGCTGCCTCGCTGCCTTACCCTGGTGTTGAACAAGTTACCTCAGTGTTTTCAGGGTTTTTTTTTTTTAAATTGTACTTTAGTGAAAGTTTACGGAGCAAATTCATTTTCCATTTGATAGTTTGTACATGAAGTGTTTCATGACCTTGATTTCATTCCCCACCATGTGTCAGCACTCTCCCCATTTCTGCCTTGGTTTCCCATTTTCTTTCGTCCTGATTATCCCCCCCTTCTTGCCTTCTCATCTTCTAATTGATTGCTCTAAGGAGTACATTCCTCTTGGGTGTTGTTTATCTTACGTGCAGTTTCTTCTCTTTTAACATGGGGGTAATAGCTCATAGCCCATGTAGTATTTGAGGATGAAAGGACATATCAAACAAAGGTACCCGGCCAGAGTTGGTGGTGAATACAAGCTAGTAAATTTCCGTTCCTTCCTTCCTCTTCCAGCTCAGGCACTTACTAGACTTTTCATTTGCACTTCCGCCCATCAGGTTTGGGATGGGGAGGAAGGCGGAAGTGGCTTACCTTCACCTCACTGAGGAGGAAACCCAGGCTGAAGACCGAGAAAGGACACACCTCAGGGGTCCCGCTCCTGGTCTCCCCCTCCCCTTCCTTGTGGCCCCAGACACCATACGCCATCCCTGGAGCCCAGGCTGCTGCCCAGAGGCTTTTAATAGGTCTCAACAAAGCCTGGCCTTTTCCTGCTGGAGACTGAGGTCTGGGGTTGCTGTCGGTCAGAACTTCAGGCCGCCAGCAGGAAAGCCACCCCACTTGCCCCCTGCCCACACTGCCCCCCTGGACAATTCAGGCTCGCCCCCACTCCTCACCCTTGTCTGGGCCTTCATGGACCACAGCTGCCTGGTGCTGTCACCACTCCCCAACGCTGGGGAAGAGCCTCAGTGGGAAGCCTGTGTCCTACCCTGCCCCCCCACACGAGAGGAGGGGAGGCTGGGGCACAGGAGGGGATGGAGACAGGAGCAGCCCTGCCCCTCCTCTGGGGCAGCTCAGCAGGAAGACACTCATCGCACTTTTACATGAGCACTTTCGATGTGCACACACCATTCTGAGTCACCCTTGTTACCCTCCTCCCCATTTTTGGCAGACGAGGAAACTGAGGAACAGAAAGTGAAGACATCTGCCTGGTGATACAACTAGTGCAGGGTGGAGCTGGGATTTGAACCCAGGTGGTTGGGCTCCTAACCTCCACTCTGCACTGCTTTATTGGAGGAGGAGGAGCAGGAGGTCAGAGTGACCCAGGATGTGTAGCCGATTAGGGCTAGGTAGTCCTTGGGTGGTGCGAATGGTTAACATGCTCATCTGCTAACCTAAGGTTAGAGGTTCAGGTTCACCCAGAGGTGCCTCAGAAGAAAGGCGTGGTGATCTACTTCTGAAAAATCAGCCCTTGAAAACCCTATGGAGCTCAGTTCTTCTCTGACATGTGGGGTCGCCGTGAGTCGGAGCCAGCTCCAAGGCAGCTGGTGGTTATCCTCAGTACTGGGCCACAGTCTCAGTGTAGCGGAAGGGAAAGACTGAAGAGCTGCTGGGCTGGGGAGGACAAGGTGGTGTGAGCCTCTGGCCATGCTGCCTATCCTGCCTCCCTGATGTCACCGGATCTTCTCTTGCATGGTGGCAGCTGCCCCTGCCCAGGGAAACAGCCAGACTGGGGCCCCACCCGGGGAGCAGTGCCAGCAGGCCAGCTGAAACAAGCAGATAAGCAGAGAACAATTCCAGGTTTGAAGAATGTCCAGAATTATCTCCTAGGGGCAGTGCCGGCCCTTCTGGGGGAGGTGATGCTGAGGGGCCAGGTGATAACCCCCGGGTGCTGTCCTGCTGTCACAGGCCCAGCCACAGAGGCCCCAGGGAAGCCTGAGTGGCCACCCTTGTCTTCCTGACTTCAGGACGCTCAATCTGAGTGGGGGTGATGAGGTCAGGCTGGAGACCTCGCCCTCCCCAGACAGCTGGGTAGTCATTCCTGCTGCTTCATTTCTTGTGAGGAACCTGCGCCCCCAATTGCTTATGCCAGGGACGTCGGTCAGGCCCATCTTTGGAGGGAGCAACCCAGAGGTCACTGTCCCCATTTTCCAGATAGGGACCCAAGGCACAGAGGAGTCCAGGCTTCCCCCACAGGCTCAACACAGACCCGGGCGATGGCCGTAGCTGGGTGTCTTTGTTGGTCACCTAGTGCTGCTCTAACAGAAATACCACGAGTGGATGGCTTTAACAAAAAAAGTTTATTCTCTCACAGTCCAGTAGGCTACAAGTCTGAATTCAGGGCACCGGCTCCAGAGGAAGGCTTTCTCTCTCTGTAGGCTCTGGAGGAAGGTCCTTGTCATCAGTCTTTCCCTGGTCTGGGAGCATCTCAGCACAGGAACCTCAGGTCCAAAGGACGCGCTCTGCTCCTGGCACTGCTTTCTTGGTGGTATGAGGTCCCCATGTCTCTCTGCTCACTTCTCTCTTTTATATCTCAAAAGAGATTGGCTTAAGACACTATCTAATCTTGTAGACCTCATCAGTATAACTGCCACTAATCCATCTCATTACATCGTAGTGATAGGATTTACAACACATAGGGAGATCACATCAGATGACAAAATGGTAGACAATCATACAATACTGGAAATCATGACCTAGCTAAGTTGACAGATATTTGGGGGGGACACAATTCAATCCATGACAGCGGAGGGGAGGGAGTTGGCTCCCTGGCCCCAGTCCAGGGTCCCAGCAGCGCCCTGACCTCCTTTCCCAAAGGCAGTTCTCTGCCCACGAGCCCCTCAGCGATGCATGCACCCAGGTCAGTGGTTGGGGCATTTGGGGGGCTGGCTTAAAGCCACGGGAAATAAGGATTTATAAAAGGTGGGCATAGGCCAACGTGAGCAGAACAGCAGAGCCTCCAAGGACAGAGCCACGCTGGGCAGAAGGTGCCTTGCTGGTTGGGGAGGTGTGTCAGGGAGAAGCAGGTGTGGGGGAAGCACAGGCAAACCTAGGCTGGGCCCACCTGGGGTGAGGGGTGTGGACGTCATAAAACCAAAGAAGCACAGAGGTGAGGGGAACATCATGTGGTGGGGGTGAGGGGCAGCAGTTCAAAGTGAGAGCCTGGGAAGAAGGGCTGAGTGCGGTGTGGAGAGAGGACCGTTGATCAGGTAGCACTGGGGCAAAGCCTGGCCGGCCAGCAGTGGGCCTGGAGCCCCTCGGCTCCTGGTGCAGCCGCAGACCCTTTCTGGAACACGAGGCCCTAGTGCAGCCCCAGACCCCTTCCTGAGCACGAGGCCTCCATCATTCCAAAGACTGGATCCCAGCCACCATCCGTAAGCCTGGCAATAAATGGGAGGGTGTGCGATGGGGAGTGGGATTGGGGCCTGAGAAGGGTGGGCCCTCGAGAGTGGGCACCGTTCCCAGCAGAGCAGCTCTGCCTCCTGGGAAGGAAGGGCTCGTGTGACACATTCCACATGCTAGAAAAGTGAGTTTTGAGGCCGCCAGCCCTTGGAAAGGGCCCTGTTTGTACACCTCTCAGGAGGCCCAGGGCAGGCCCTCTAAAGGGGCTGGTGAGGACAGCTCTGTTGTCACAGCAAAAGCAGACTCACTGGGTACACAGCTTTGTGCTTAGGAGTGTGCTTAGGGGACCTTTGAAACCATGCCCATTTCACAGATATATTGTAGGAGGAGAGATGGCTTGCCCTCAGGGGTCAGAGGCACAGCTTCTCATTTCTCAGTCCCTGCTCATTATAATACCAATCTAGGAAGACCAGACTCCATTATCCCGCCTGGTTCCTGCCCTTTCTCTGTCCCCTCTCAGAGCCTTTTGGTTGGAGATAACATGGCTGGAGGTGGTGAGCTGGGGGTAACAAAGGCAGGAGAGGTGGATGCTGGTGTCCAGACGAGGAGTCTCCAAGCCCACTGCCTCCCCGCCCCTCCTTCCACACACCCTCTTCCTGGGGTATTCTTTTTAGTTTCCTTTCCCTCTATTAATAGTCCAGAGTCAGTCCCAGACCTGGAGATGGCCAGGAACAGGAGGAAGTAGGCCCTCGGGGAAGGCTGAGAGCAGGGCTGAAAGCTAAAGTTGACCTTCTCCACCCACCCCTGTCCACTGCCCCAACTGGAGATAAGCCCTTGGGGGCACTGGCTCTGAGCTAACTCCTTTCCATGCAGCCTTCAAAGACCAGCTGGAGCGACCTTTCCTCATCGCCACTATCTGCTGACCTCTGGGCCACTCCCCGTCACTCACTGAAGACTTTGGCTCCTTCCTCTCCAAATCAATCTGTGCCATCATTCTCTGTGGCTTCAGTTCCCACTTGGATAAACAATTCAGTACCTACCTGGCCGCCCAATTCCCTGACCTTATCCAGTCTCTATTTTATTCATCCATTCCCATTTCGCTTGAACTAGACCACCACCTCTGACATCTAAGCATTTCTTTCATTCTTTGATCACTATCTCACTACCTTGCACTGCATTTGAAAGTACACCCGTATACCATAATGGTTGAACTCCAGCCATCAAGCCTTCACTTTCTCACTGCCCATCTGGCTATATTCGCTTTGTTTTTGTTGTTGTGTGCCCTCGAGTCGATTCTGACTCATAACAACCCCATATGACAGAGTAGAACTCCCCCACGGAGTTTCCTAGGCTGTAATCTTTATGGGAACAGATTACCAGGTCTTTTCTCCTGTAGAGCAGCTGGTGGGTTCAGACCGCTGACCTTTCTGTTAGCAGCTGAGCGCTTAACCATTGCACCACCAGGGCTTCTTATTCTGTCTTTAGCCGCCCTGTATCTCGCTACTCACCATTATAAT